GATTGATTTCACACTTCTAGGTTCAGTATCACTTTGTGCATGTGGTATCAATGTTCAACTGACTTGATAAGTTTAAATCAAGTTAAAATAAACATTTGACATTTCCTTTAGTGATGCTTTTAAAAAAAAATCTATTGAGATTTGTTTCACTACTTAATGGAAACTTGAATTTGCATAAATTTATCTGAAATGTATCTGTTGAAATGGAATAAGTTCTCATATCACGGGAATTTAACAATTTGAACATCGATCTAAATAAAACAAACAAACATAATGGTGGAAAAAAAATAGAGGGTCAATCAATCAATCAGTCTAACTTTATTGTTCATAACATTCCATGAGATGGAGATTTATCTTTGACATCTGGCTCATACATACAAAACAACGCATGTTAAAAATGTCATAAAAATTTTAAAAGCTTTGCCAACCCAATTAAAACCAATTCTAAAATACACGATACATTAAAAACATTAAAACATCCCAGCAGACATCAGTTTGTCATGTGAGGCTACATTTTAAAAGGACCCTGTTAAGGACACTCACAGTAGATGGAACAAATTACTTTTTGCACCCATTTTTCTTTACCAGAGGAACCACCAGTCTTCTGCTAGATGTTACCAACCCGAATAATGGTTGCAGTGGATGAGTTGGATCATTGTAAACCTGGATTTCCTTTTTTCTAGAGTCTGACTGTACAGGTCTGTAGGTTGCATTTGTTGATGACCAATAATTTTCAATTCAATTCAGTTTATTTATATAGCGCCAAATCACAACAAAGTTGTCTCAGGGCACTTTACAGGAACATTCACATACATAAAAGCCAATTAGTAAAGTTCTGTATCTAAGGAATCCAGCAGACATCTTGGCTTCGTTGCAGTCTCCCATCCTGAGCAAGCACAGTGGCAACAGTGGAAAGGAAAAACTCACTTTTAAAAGGAAGAAACCTCCAGCAGAACCAGGCTCAGGACAAGTGGCCATCTGTTTTGACCGGCTGGTTTGAGAGGACAGGAAGGAGAGACAGACAAACATAGAATGGTAGGTCCAGGTATAGGTCCAGGTGTATCTGAAAGACAAAAAAACACATGTTAAGGATAGAAAAAATAATTACAAATACAAAACAGGTTGAGCAGAGTAAGTAAAGACAGTAGTAGAGTGAAAATTGTGGTCAGTTTGTCCTCCAGCAGTCTAAGCCTATAGCAGCATAACTAAGAGACAGCTCAGGAAACCCAAGCCGACCCTAACTATAGGATTTAGCAAAAATGAAAGTCTTAAGCCTAGTTTTAAAACTGAATAATGTGTCAGCCTCACGGACAGAGATTGGAAGTTGGTTCCACAAGAGAGGAGCCTGATAACTGAAAAATCTGCCTCCCATTCTGTTTTTGTAAATTCTAGGAACCACAAGTAAACCTGCAGCCTGAGAGTGAAGTGCTCTGTTAGGAAAATATAGAACAATAATATCTGTAATATAAGATGGAGCCAGGTTGTTGAGAGCTTTGTAGGTTAGAAGTGAGATTTTGAATTCCATTCTGGACTTGACAGGGAGCCAATGGAGAGAAACTAAAACTGGAGAGATATGATCTCTCCTACTAACTCCAGTTAAGACTCTGGCAGCAGCATTTTGGATCAACTGAAGACGTTTTAAAGAAGTATTTGGACACCCAGATAATAAACCATTGCAATAGTCCAGTCTAGACATGACAAATGTAGAGGAACATATATCTGTGATATATTATCCATAAATTAAACGGATTCATTCATTTTTCTGGACTGAATAATATCGTGCATTGAAATTAATTAAATGTAACGTGAGGCGTTAATTTTCTTTGACCCATCAAATGAATGCGGTCATTTATTAACAGAATCAAAGTTTAACATCACACATTTACATTAATTTGGCAAATTGATTTCAACAACAACATAATTAATTAGCAAGCTTTACAGTCAAGAAAACCATACGGCCATGATTTTCCTGTTTCACAACTGACATTTCTGAAAATATCTGGAATGATTACTGGCAAGATAGAAGGGTTTAAAGATGGGTGATGAAGGAGTTAAAATTGAGAGAGAAGATGGATGAGGGGTTGTTATGTGTCGGTATCAGAACGGCACGCTCCGTTAAGATCCCAGCTTCCTCCTCGGTACACTTAGGTGGTGTAAATCGACTCTTTACCTGTAGCAGGTGTCTCCACTGGTACGGAGTTCCATTTAATGCACCCTTTCAGCGTCTCCGTAGGAACAGCTGTGAATCGTCCGAAGTAGTGACGGTATTCCGTCCGACACAGGTTCACCTCTCAGTTGGGCTCACATGAGTTGTGAGTCCGTCAGAGTTCCACTCAGATGTGGAAGATTTTATAATTCCCACGAGACTCGGAAGAACTCCGGATCATGTCTGAACCTCCTGTACTCTCCAGCACTTCTTCCATTCGGTTTGCTCTCCGAACTGAACTGCTCTCCCACCGCACTCGACTGCACTCGACTGGTTCGAACTAGGAAGTGCCGACATTTAAAGAGTTCTATTTCCGGTTCATTTGGGAAGTTCCTGATTGGTCGATCGACCAAACAGGGGTGTGTTTTAGTGATGTAAGAGGTTATTAAAAGTCAGAAAAACAGAAAAATTGTTTTGGAACGGACAGAAGATGTTTTTGAGACAGACGAGAGAAATGTTTAGGCGAGTTGGGGAAAACAGGTGCCAGCTTCTCTATTTACGTCTGAGAGGATATAAAAACATGACAGTTCGTTCCAACAACTTGTCTTCGACCTTTGACCGACATCACAACTTACACTTGCTCATTCCAGACAGGAAATCAGAAAATGCATGAATTACTCCGTAACACATTCTAACTTGATTTCTACTTTGAATGAGGATTAAAAATCACTAATACTGTTTCACAGTTGATTTAAAATGAGTAGTTCACTTCAACATTTAAAAATGGTTTGAACTAAACACACTTTGATTATCAAGAAATTTGTAAGATAGTAATGATAATAAAAGAGAGTGTTCTTTCAATTGATCAGTGCAGGACACACTTAGAAAGTCTCTGGGTGGACTTAATCTTGTGTTTCTGGACTCAAATCAATGAAATACAGTTCTTGTCCCAGGAAGGCCCTCAAGGCCAGATTTGACCTGAGGCTTAGTTCACTACACAAATGCATGGACCAGTTTTTCTGCATCATTTTTAGATAAGATGTTTCTAATTTTAGTGATATTACGCAGGTGGAAGAAGGCAGTTCTTGTAACGTTTTTAATGTGGGGGATAAAAGATGTCCTGATCAAAAAGAACACCAAGATTTTTAACATTAGAGCAGGAGGACAGATTAATGCCATCTAAGGAGAGAGAAAGATTGAAAAATTAATTCCTAAGGTGCTCAGGTCCATAACCCAAAACCTCAGCCTTGTCTGTGTTCAAAAGGAGAAAATTAAGGGTCATCCAGGTTATGTCTTTAAGGCATGCTTGTAGTCTAAGTAGCTGATTGGATTCATTGGGTTTAATGGACAAATATAATTGTGTGTCATCAGCATACCAATGAAAATTTATCCCATGCTGTTTAATAACTTTACCTAATGGAAGCATATATAAAGTAAAGAGTAGTGGCCCAAGCCCTGAGCCCTGAGGAACTCCATGACTAACTTTGGGATTTGGGACAACTCATTCCTGTCTCTGGCTAGGAGATTCCCATACCATGAGAGAATATTAAAGGAAACAGCACTTACAACCAGTGACCTGTACACCAACTGCAAAGTATTTTTTCTTGCATTAAAGCTCCTTAGTGTATACAGAAGGTGGAGACGCTGTCTGGCTTTTTTGTAAATACAGTCAGTGTTGGGCTCTAAGGTCAACTTGTGATCAATTATTGTTCTGAGGTATTTAAATTTGGTCACCTGCTCTACTTCCTGCCCTTTTATAACAGATCTGAATATAGGTCTGGTTCTGGCTGCTTCCCATCTACCTCCCAAACAAAGCTCCTTGGTTTTACTGACATTAAGGTCCAGAAAACTGTCATCAAACCAGGCAGAGAACTGATCTATGAGCTGGAAGTAGGACTGGCTACTGGTGTCTTTCAGACCAGCAACTAGAGCCATATCATCAGCATACTTAATTAATGTGATCCACAAATATCATCCTCTAAGTTTTGTTCCAAACAGAAGCCTGGATATGTCAGAACATAAAGAGCTGAGAAGGAGAGGGGGCTCTTGAAGTCAAGCCAGTAATGAAGTTTGTTCCTCTTGTTATCACAATTCTAGAATTTCCTTATCGTGGTGCCACTGCTCACCGGGCCTGTGTGCCCAGCCGGCGGGCTGCGTACCCAGACAGTCCCTGTCTTGTCCTGCATTCTTTCAGTCAATAAGACCCTCTGAGATCTTAGTCACCAAGAAGGGGATTTGGTTACACACAAAGGGAAATGTGCCTGTTGGAAATTGCTTACGAGAGCAGGGTTAGCGCTTCCCAGCAAGACTTTAAAACAGTTTTTACAGTTTAAGCCAAAGCTAGTTTAAAATATATTAGCCAGTTTTGTTGTGTGTTTGTGAAATCATGATTTATTTAGCATTCATTTAGCTTAAATAGCTTTTTGCAGATTGTTGTTTAGTATTAAAAAAAAAAAATTCTTAAATACTTCGAGTTTTGGTACAATATTTTTACTAATAAATTATTCATATGCCATTGCATCAAAATTGTGTCTGACCTAAAGAAATATGCTGTAAATTATTTCACTTTTTTTGTGAAGGCTTATTTTCTATTATGTCCCCTGTTCTCTATTTTTGTCTTCATCTGCATTTGCGTGACAGTTGTCTCTGGTCAGCTGGAGCATCTGGACATGTTTCCTCCAGATAAACAACAGCTAAAATAGGACTTGATATAAACTCACTTGTACTAAACAATACAGTTGGCAAAGAACGTCACCCCCACCTGTGCTTGGTACCACTTTTACTTGTACTGTAGCTCAAGAGTCACATTTATTGTTATTTACCACAATCTGCATGTGTTTGTTTGTACATGCAGTATTGCAAACACGGGATGTGTGTAAATAAGGAGTTAGACACACAGCCAGTCAATGGACATTGGGGACCATGGGGACCCTACAGTATTTGCTCCAGGTCCTGTGGTGGAGGAACAAGGAGCACCAGCAGAGACTGCAACAAGCCTGAGTAAGAAAAAAACAAACAAACTTAAAATCAAAGCGTGTTTATGAGCTTTAATTTAAGAGAGCACAATCAGACCTGAAGAAGAGCTGAAGACAAATTAATACAAAAATCAATTAGGAAAAATATGTTTATTTGTTTTATGCATGCAGTGTTGTGTATTTAGAACAGCCTAATGTGTGTGGTCTTTTGTGTCTTGCATCTTTTCTTACACCAGGCCCAGAAATGGTGGTAAGTTCTGCGTGGGTCGTCGGATGAAGTTCCGCTCTTGCAACACTGAGCCATGCCCACGAGAAAGGAAGGATTTCCGTGAAGAGCAGTGCTCTCAGTTTGATGGCAAACACTTCAATATTAATGGTCTACCTCCAACCGTCCGCTGGGTCCCCAAGTACAGCGGCAGTGAGTCCACTCACGCATGTAGATTTGATGTCTAGTTGTCACAATTTAGGTGGTTTTATGTTTGATTAAATGGTTATCCTGTTTGTATTTTTTAGTTTCATCTGTTTCAGCCTGCTCTCAGTATGTTCCATTATCGTTTTATTCTCTGATGTTCCATGCATCCATCCATCAATTTTTTTACACACTTCTTCCTTTTTGGGTCACAGGGGTCACTGGTGCCTATATCCAGCAGCCACTGTGTGCGAGGTGGGGGACACCTTGGACAGGTCTCCAGTCCATCACAGGGACACATAGAGACAAACGAGACAAACAACCATTCACTCTCTCACACCTAGGGACAATTTAGAGTTACCAATCAGTCTAACATGCATGTTTTTGGTCTGTGGGAGGAAACTGGAGTACCCAGAGAAAATCATTCATGCATATGAGGTGAACATGCAAACTCTGCAGACAAAGACCCCGGTTAAGTTATGAACCTGCAAAGATTCTGCTGTGAGGCGACAGCTAACCAACGGCCGCAGTCACTAATAATCTCTAATCCTTATTAATCCTGTGGCAAAGGTTTATACATATCACCCAAAAGGGATTGTTAAATTTAAAAATGCCTGAATATTAGTCAAATAAATTGTGTTTATAAATGGCACAAGTATGCAAAAAGTTTTTCTAAGGCTGAAAAAAACATCAACCTCAACACAACCTAGCCACTTGTGGCAACTGTTTTTTTTTTTTTTTTTTAATATTTAAAATTTTAGATCTAGTACTTATAATATATACTCACTGACAAAACAGTTAAGCATCCCAAGTCATTGGTCAAGTTTGGATGGGCTCCAACAGTGATGGGTATGCAAATGATTCAGTTTGAAAAATGACGCGCGTTCTGAACTTGAACAAGAACAAGAACGCAAAAATGAATGGCATCACAAATAATATGGTGTTTTTAGTCAGTGTCTGATAGTGAGTCAAAGCAGTGAGTGAATGTCTGCACATACAATGGATGCCTTGTGGATGCATTAGACAGCATTACCAACACTTGGAGTTTAATAGGGGTCACATTATGTGTTTGCATAAGTGTGGGAACACATCACACCTGAGATACACCCAGGCAGAGCAGTGGGCAGCCATGTAGGCGCCCGGGGAGCAGTTAGGGATTGGATGTCTTGCTCAAGGACACCACAACATATGGGCATGGCGAGGAGTTGAACCTGTGACATACTGGGCCCAAGTTGGCTTCCCAACCTCTTCACCACAGCCTCCCCACTTTATGGAGCCCAATGAATAAACTAGTGGGTATGAGAGATCACCCTTACATGTTGTGAATGTTCCAGTCACTAAAGACAGATCACACTAAAGAAGAAGGGTCACATTTTGTGCCAAGTATTACACAACCTCATGACATCTGTGCCTGCTATACAGACACAAGTACTGGAGTCTTCACAACACCTTGCATCATCCTGCGCTACTTTTCTGTGATTGGATCAGCTGGACTTTGAGTGTACCATCTCATACATAGGAAAGCATCAACACTAGTGTATGGTCTGCATGGGCAGGGATGAATTTCTTGGATTTGCATTACCACAAATGATGGCAATGAAGGAAGACGGCCAACCCTTCCAACCTTGTGTGCTGCCAACTGTTTTCCATTTGATTTGATATTGTTCTCATTACAGCAATCACAGTCATGTGACTTAGACATGTACCGTTTCATTTCATTTTCACTATTCTACAGGGGTGCTTAACATTTGTTATCAGTGACAGAATGATAATTTCTTGCAGAAGAGTTTAGTACTCCTTTTAGTGACTGCAACACTGCGATTCTACTTATTGCTATATCTGCCTCACAAGATGTGAGTAAATCTTTAGTTGACAAAGAACAGCACTGTTAAAGCTATATGACACCCTGCCACCCCCATCTCCTCAGGCAGATTTTAAACTTCACACAGCTGTAGCTTGACTTCAGCTGAGATAGATAGCCAACCCACAAGATTAGCATCTGGCAAATTGACTGCAAATGATTCATTTGTTTAATTGATGCTATATAAGCAAACAAGCCAAGCCTGGATGGTGTATGCTGTCAGACACAAAGTGATTTTCATTCAAACACTGGACAAAAATTTGGCAAAGCACTCAGTTGGAATTTTGAAAAAATGTATATGTGTTATTAATAAATTTATGAGCTGCCATAAAAGACACATCATCATCAATTCTTTCTTTTGTAATCACTCAGAATGTGTATTTGCCCAATTTTATCTGTTTAATTAGCTTATTGTTTCCATTTTTTGTTTTTACTCTATTCACAGTTCTAATGAAGGATCGCTGTAAGCTCTTTTGCCGGGTTGCTGGCACCATGGCTTACTATCAGTTGAAGGACCGAGTCATCGACGGCACTCCCTGTGGTCCAGATACTTATGACATTTGCGTTCAAGGCCTCTGCAGGGTATACCTTCATGTTTATTCATCCTCTGCTGAACACTGTGCAAACACAGTCTTCAGCACAGTAAACCTTCACTTACTTTCACGTTGTTATACCACAAAACCTTCCATGTACTAATTGGTTTGCAAATGCATTCTATCTATTTTTACTTGATTAGATGAAGGCCATTTTTAGTGAAGGGTTTGTAGTTGTAGACCGGTTCTGTGCAAAGTTAAAGGGACAAATTTGTAGGTCAAACATTTACAAAAGCATTCCCACTAATCTTTTTTAAGTGCTCTGTGTTGTACAAAAATTCTCAAAAATCTCAGATTTATATCTTCTTCTCATGTGGCTTTCCAGCAAGCAGGTTGCGATCACGTGCTTAACTCCAAGGCAAGGAATGACAAGTGTGGAGTCTGTGGTGGGGACAACTCCTCATGTAAAACTCTGGCAGGGACCTTCAATGATGCTCAGTATGGTGAGTCCCACTACTCACAATGTGTGTCTACTATTAGCTGATTGTGTTGCTTTTAAATACACACTATGCCAGTGGCTTTGACAGACAAATGCAAGAAGTGCCAAGATAGACATTCAAGTAGTCACAAAGTGGACATAATAAGCCACATCATCGTGCTAGACACTGACTTTAATATATATATATTATTTTAAACTTATGTCATGTATAATTGTGTTTAAATTGTTGCTGTTTAAAGTATTTAAACATACAAAGCTTTATTTTTAGATGTGACTCATTCCATTTTGGAAACAAATGGAGAAAATGCAGAAAGTTTATTTGTTTGAAAGCTTTAGAAACGGATAGAACTAAAAGCAATCTAACTGAGTCTTTTCTTTTTCTCAAACCTGTCATTGTCCTTTTGAGCTCTCCTGGCTAATGCAGTGTTTCAGTGAGCGCCAACTGCTGATTGCATTCAATCCTTTAAGTCTGAGCAACAACACAGCAGAAGCTTTAGTGTAAAAAGCTTTGGGTGTGACTTGCCTTTTGTTTGCTCTCAGTTCTACGCCAAGTGTTTGCATCTCTATCCATTAGCTTTCTTTCTGCACTCTTGGCTGTTGGGTTGGGGAGTTTGTATTGTATTGAATCAAAGTAGGTGCTTACATCAGCCCTGGAAATCTGGCTTAAACTTCAGAAGGGGAAAACTAGTGGGAGTGTAGCCCAGGCAGGATATCCCTCTGTTCCTGACTCTGAGCTTGTCTTTATCGTGTTCACTCCTTTGTTCTTTTGGTTTTATAATCCTTTATGTCTTGCTTTTTGTCTATACATGGCTTTGTTATTCTTTAAGATTAGTTCTTTATCCCACTTGAGAAACTCATGTTCACAAGTGGAATCTGTCATGTAATTCTTCTTCTTCTTTTGGCTTTTCCTTCTTCAAGGGTCGCCACAGCGAGTCATCCTTCTCCATCTCACTCTGTCCTCTGCATCCTATCCACTCCGTCTACCTCCATGTCAGCATGACGGCTCAGTGGTTAGCACTGTTGCCTCACAGCAAGAAAGTCCTGGGTTCAATCCCCGGTTGGACTTGGGGTCTTTCTGTGTGGAGTTTGCATGTTCTTCTCGTGCTTGCATGGGTTTTCTTCAGGTACTCCGGCTTCCTCCCACAGGCCAAAAACATGCATGTTAGTCTGCCTTCAGGCCCTGGCCTCCCTTGCAAAGAGATCTGTGATCTCAATGGTATTTGCCTGGTTAAATAAAGGTAAATAAATGTCCTCTCTAACTGCATCCTTATATCTTCTCTTTGGTCTTACTCTTTGTCTTGTTCCAGGCAGTTGCATTTCTAACATCCTTCAACCAATATACCTACTGCCCCTCCTTTGGAAATATCCAAACCATCTCAATTTGGCTTCTCTAACTTTATCTCCCAGTTGTTCATCCTGTGCTGTACCTCTGATGATCTCATTCCTAATCTTGTCCATCCTTGTTACTCCTAAGGAGAACCTCAACATCTTAATTTCTGCAACTTCCAGTTCTGTCTCCTGGCTTTTTGTCCATGTCTCTGTCTCCAGACTATAAAACATAGCTGGTCTCACCACTTTCTTGTAAACTTTTCTTTTTACGTTTGCTGACACACTTTTGTCACAAATCACTCCTGAAACTTTTCTCCATCCTGCTTGGACTCTCTTTTTCACCTTTTACCACACTCCCCATTTTCCTGGACAGTGGACCCGAAGTTCTTGAAGTCATGCAACTTTGTGGCCTCTGCTCCTTGGAGCCTCACTGTTCCACCGGCGTCCCTCTCATCCACACACATACTCTGTCTTACTACAGTTGACTTTCATTTCTCTTCTTTCAAGTGCATACCTCCACCTCTACAAGTTCTCTTCACACAAAGCATCTGCCTTCATTCTCTGCATCATGTCAGTCAGCTGTCATTGCCTTTGCCTGTCATTGTCCCCACATAGATAGTTACAACCCTCAGTCCTACATTCTTCTTGACTTTCCTCTTCTCCCTGTGTCTCCTGACATGTTTCTCTCCTTGTAGTCTTTAACTAACAGTAGCACAATTTCCGCCGGCACCCTGTTTGTCAACAGTACTGGTGGCGGTCGTTGTTAACCCGGGCCTTGACCGATCTGGTATGGTTTTGCTTTGATGAACTTGCATTCTAGTTTTGGCAAAAGTGTTTTACGTCGGATGCCCTTTCTGACAGCCATAACCATTTACCCTGGCTTGGGGCCGGCACAAAAGATTCACTGGTTTGTGTTCCCTAGTGGCTGGTTTGCAATATACCATCTAATAGTTAAAATTATATTAATGTATTTTCTAAAGGGTTTTCACAGTTGTTCAGGACTTTTAGGTCAGAGCTTGACAACGTCATCTTTAAATCAAGTTTTAAGGATTTAGAGATTCAAGAATTAACATGCCCTGACTAAGACTCTACACCAACTTTTTTTACTAATTGAATATCATCATGTTTTAGTTCAAACTTGAAAAAAACTTTATTGCGTTTAAACCACATAGTTACATAAATTGTTAAAAGCAGTTTTGCAACTATGTATAAGTTGCATCATTTTAGGAAGTAGAGGCATGTTTGAGATGAACCCCAGCAGCACTCTATGAGAACATATGGTTGATGTGTTACCGCACTGCGCTGTACTTACTGTACATTCTTGGGTTCTTTGTGGTGTGGGGATTGTGTGTGCGGTCTGTTGCTAAGCTGGTGGATCTTAGAGGCTATTAGTGGCTTATTGAGACCATGTTGACTGAGGGAAATGCATCATTGATGGTCTGTAACTTTAATTCAATTCAGTGTTTGATTCGCTATCGTTTCCCTTGTGATTGTTGGAGCAAATTTAATTCTACACTTCAAATTACTAATAAAAAACACCAAGAAAGGCTGGAAGACATGTTGGTGTTTGATTGCATCGGAGGGAGCAAATAAATCTTTCAAACAAGTGTTTATGAATATAAAATTAAATTAAAAAATCTGTTTCACACTGAAACAGAAAATTTCTTGACGCAGGTCAGTTATATACAGTACATACTGTAGGTAATATGGACAAACTAACACTAACAGGTAGAGGAGTTGAGTGTTTGACATCATGTACTTTCATGGAATAATTGTGGAGCTGTAATTGACTATATGTCATTGGTATGGTGGATCTCCAAGATTTTGAATGTGTGTGAATAAAAAGTCTACATAGCTGATGAGAGTTAGAAATGTAAACCATGTGCTGCCCCCGAGTGGCTTAAGGTGTTAGTTTAGGTGTCTGATTTCATCAAATTAAGTTGGATCAATTTTTTATTTTAAACAGTTAGGGGTAGGGTCAGGGTTAGGATTAGGTGATGAGCAACTATGGTGTTAGTCAACATCACCCCAGTACCAATCAGACTTAATTAAAAAAAAATTATAGTTACACCACAGGCCGCACAGTGGCACAACTGGTAGAGCTGCTGCCTCTCTGCGAGCAGGTTACCCTGGTTCATGACAAAGGTAGTAAAGACAGCCCAGTGATTTAATCTGTTGAAATGAGTATTAAGTAGGCCGAGTATTCGCAGCTAACAGTCACATAAACAAACACCAGCAACATATGCTGGTATACACAACTGAATCTGAGATGCAGGATGGCATAATGCTGAATGTGTTGAGAAAGTGTAATTAACATAACTAGTCTTTACTATATCAATTTATGAAAGTTGTGAATTATTACCTAAAAAATATTTCTGTACAAAACAGCTGTTTTTGTGTGTGTGTGTGTGGTTTTTTTTTTGCAGTTTGTGTGCAAACAACAGCTGCATAGCATTACTCCAACATGACCGTTTACTAGGGTGCAATGAAAAAACTGCACATAACATTTTGACCACTGCTACAAAATGGCTTAATCACACTATCTAACACAGAAGTTTTTAGGTTCAATAACAAATTTCTCTCACAATGTGAATTTCAGACTTCCTTTTCAATTGACCTTACTGATCGTATTTCCATCCATCCATCCATTTTCTTTACCCGGTTATTCCATTTTTGGGTCACGGGGGTCGCTGGTGCCCATGTCCAGCAATCACTGTGCGAGGGGCGGGGTACACCCTGGACGGGTCGCAAGTCCACCGATCATATTTTTTAAAGTTAAATTTAATCTGACACCTGTCGAGTCCTTATGCTTATATTTTGGTTGTCACAGTACAGCTCTTTACTCAGTCGCTTATTTTTCATGATAATTTCTATCAGTTTATCATGGAACAACGGCACCAGTGCCACAATTACTGGCCAAAAGGAAGGTCCTGGAATAATTACATATCCTTTCATGGTCAGGCCTGTGAGACTGAAACAAGGCCTCCTGCAGGTTATTTGAGACGGCTTGAGCTTTTTCATATTTTTTCCAAGAGTGACATTTAACTCCCAAGTGGATGGAGCCAGACTTTCCTGTCTGGAGTTCTGTGGAGCATAGTGAAGCTATTATGAAAATCATGGCTGGATTCATTCATTGCTCTTACTTCTACATTATTCCCTTGTGTGACTTCAAATATGTGTTCAGTCTCTTACACTTTTTGTGCTGTTTGTTTCTTTGTGGGGATTTTTATCCTCTAGGTTACAATGTAGTTGTGCGAATCCCAGCTGGAGCCACCAACATTGATATCAAACAGGTCAGCTACTCTGGAAAACCAGAAGATGACAACTACCTTGGTGAGTGCGCTTTGTGAATATGTCACATATTTGACTTAAAATAATGTTAAAGGATTGCAATCCATATGAACAAAACATTTACATTATATCTCTTTAGTTGGAATTCACAAACCCCATTGTCTTCAACTTTTATAAATTAATTGGTGACCTGGATCTATAGAGACTGGAACTATTACAAGAGGAATTGGAGCAACGGTAAAAAACTGGTGTAAAACATCATTGTCATTTTGAAATGATGGAAAAATTTTGTTTACATGAAGTTTACAGTACATGACAGAAATAGAGGGAGTGCATTTGGGTTGCCTGGGAAAGCAAATGGAGTGTCAAGACTGAGAAAGATAAATGAGGCAGCAATAAGTGCTAATTACAGTCAGGTGGAGCTCAGGCTGTATGAAAGCAGATCTAGGAGTGTTGGGTTAGGTGGGTCTGTGTGTTTGCATATGTGTTTGTGTTAAAGTAAGAGGTGAATAGAAACAGAGAAAAGGGGAAAACTCTGCCTGGAGGAGGTGATAGTTCAAGTCAGGTTTGAAATGTTAAAAAAAAAAGAAAATTCTGAGAACACATCTGGCAGATCCTCATCTGCACACTGCTATTAGGGGGTCCACACTTGTATTTGCAACACGCTGCCAATTTAGTCATTTGAGGTAGAACATTACATAGTACATTCTGTTTTTAAGATAATCCAGCCCACTCATGACAAAAACGGAGATAATGTTGTTGAAGTGCCAGAGTTTTGAGCACGCTTCCTTTGGATCCTGTGAATGGTTTAAAATAATATGTGGAGGATGCACCTACTCAAACCTGTCATTCCTGTCAGAAAAAAAAGTGAGGATTAATCAATTCTAAGAGTAAATATGAAACAAAGCACTGAGAACAGTCTGCACACAGCCTGCAGAGCTGGGATGTTCTCAAGAACTGCCTCTCAGCCACAAAACTTTTGTCAGCTGCTGAGTGGGCTATGAAACTGTTTACAAATCTGTAAATAACATAATTACTTCCTACTTTGGCTTCTCTCATGTGAGTTCACATGCAACATTGTTCTGTTTTTCTTTAATAATTTTTACTCATCCTCCCTAAGGAGAACTTTTCTTATTATGAACTGCAATGTCATTTTTTGGTTGGAAATAGACTTTAAACTTCTGCTTTGCATCAGGCTGAAGAAACGTTTCAGCTGATCACGTTTCTTGTGTGTGTGCAAAGTTTTATCAAGAGACAAAATCATGTACATTCTTTTTGTTTAAACACACAGATTAGAATTAGTTGCATGTAATTCAAAACTCCAGAACTGACCACAGAGAAGGGTGGATGTTTGTTTAGTTTTTTTTTTTTTCTTTAAGTAAAGATTTGCTTGTATTTGCAATTAGCACAAAGCTGAGGTTGAACTCCAAATAGGTACAATTTAGTGCCCAAATCATTTTGTTTTACCTCATCGTATAGTGTAAGATTTGCAAAACATACATACATTTATTCCTGAGTGGCCACAAAAAAAAGAATAGGCAGCAATTCACTTCATGCTAAAAATGCTAGCTACATTAGTTTTTCTTTTTTTTCATTTACGGCCTCGGCACAACACACCAGTTTGTACTTTGACCAAGGGCGTCAGAAACATCCGTAATGTGGGGGGGGCACAATTATTTGTGTGTATGTGAACGCGTGTGCGCGTGCATGCGTAGAAGTGTACACTAATGTACAAAAAAGCAACATTTTACCTAGATTTCCTTTAATTCCACACATTTAAAACATGTTTCTCACCAAGTTTGTGTAAATTCATCTGTGGGTTTTAAAGACATTTTAACTTTAATACAGAGCGTCAGGTCGGCACTATTTGTGTTTATAGAGACATAAAAAACATCACCACTAAACTTTTTTACTTGTGTTCAACACTACTCAACTAAATGATGTTTCTCATGAAGCTTGAGGACAATAAGGTGTGAGGGTTTTAAAGACATTTCAACTTTAATGCACCTGAACACACAGCGTCTCTTACACCTGCAGCATCTTACAGCGTCACAGTTAATGCTAAGCTAACATGCTACAGACGTAGTGCTGCACTCAAGCATCCCCCTAACATGAATATATGTTGATGATCAACCCCCTGGTCAACCACTGCCCGCACTAAGCTGCTAAACTGGCGAGTGAGCAACACAGAGGTGTCTCCATCTCCTGCACCTGTGTGCATTTTCTGCCGAAGCAGGAGACTCAGCAGCGGCGGCCTGCACAGTTTCTGCTCTGTGTGTAGAGGTGGAGGTAACCAGGAAAACCTGGAGTGGAGTTTTAGTAACTTGAGTATTCTCCTATTAATCAAGTGGAATGGATTTGTTCACGAAGAAAGAGAAACTGCACCGCCTGAGTGGGGTGGGGGGTTTTGGGGGGTCCAAATGAATTTTTTTTTATGTGGGGGGTACTTGTCCCCTTCACATATAATGGTTGCGACGCCTATGACCTTGATACTATGCTGCTTAATAGAGAGGTCCTTAAAATCACAAGTAGTATTTTTGTAGGTATTCTAAAATGTTGACAATATTTTATTTTGCAATATATTTCTGAAATCTGAAAATCTACTTAAAGATGTCACTTTTCCTTTTCCACACTTCGTGTTTTTCAAACACTATGCAATACATGTAAATTTTTACTATTTAAATTATCACTCAGTATTTTATTAATCTGGACACAAAAATATATCACTAATACTTGTGCATGGACAATTAGGTGAAGATAACAAATACAAAACATTACATTTCACCTGAAATGAAAACTGTTAATAATGCCAGCTTTAGATGTTCTTGACTGTCTGTTTCTTATTTCAGCATTGTCTGACAGCCAGTCTAACTTCCTTCTGAATGGGAACTTTGTTGTGGCCATGTTCAAAAGAGAAATCACTTTCAACGGAACCATCATTGAGTACAGTGGCTCAGACACAAAAGTAGAGCGCATTAACTGCACCGAGCGCATTGAAGAAGAGCTCATTCTACAGGTACTGACAGTTTTATTTTCATTTAGCCACTTTGTGGCATGAGTTTAATCCCCCAGTCTAAATATATATTGTCTCTCTGTGGGCATCATTGTTTCTGTAGGTTCTGTGTGTGGGAAACCTTTATAACCCAGATGTGCGTTACTCCTTTAACATACCCATTGAGGAGCACAGGGAGAAGTTTGTGTGGGACCCCTCGGGCTCCTGGCTTGAGTGCAATCGTATCTGCCAAGGTAAGATGTTGGCCTGCCTTCTAAAGCTCCTCACACAAAGAATGAAGTATATTACTCTTTTCCTTGGCTCATTATCTCACAAATGCCAATAATTGTCCAAGTGGAAAAAAAAAAAGTAATTATCTAGTGCCAAAGATCATGGTTACCTCTAATATAAAGTGTAAAAGTTCATAGTCAAAATGGGAAATTTCATTTGAACGGCAGTCTTACCAATGATCTTTTTGAGCATCTCAGTACATATGTAACCTTATATTTGTTAAAACCATAAATTTCAAAAGTTCAACGATCATCAACCATTATCTCTCTCCAGACTAGCCCATGAAACTCCTGACTTGTTAAACTTGTTTAACTTGATGAAATGTAACATTTGAACAAGGGACGTGTCGAACACCATCTGAATCCATCTTACTTTGTATCCTGTGTCTAGGGGAGCGAAGACGCAAGGCAGTATGTGTTCGTGAAAGCGATCACCTAGAAGTGTCGGACCAACGTTGTGAACATTTACCTCGTCCTGCTGCTGTTACTGAGCCCTGCAACACCGACTGTGAAGTCAGGTGGGGGTTATTGCACAAGGACATACAATTGTACCAACAAAACACACTCCAGCAGCGTGCACCCATCTCAACTCTCTTCTCCAACAGGTGGCATGTTGCTGGAAGGAGTGAGTGTTCAGCTAAGTGTGGTCCCGGCTACCACAGCCTGGATGTTCAGTGTATGAAGTACAACCTGATGAAGAGACAGAGTGAGCGGGTGGAGACTAGCGCCTGCTCAGGCATCGCCAAACCTCAAACTAGAGAGCCATGCCATGGAGACTGTCTGCTCAAGAGCTGGCAGTACAGTGCCTGGTCACAGGTACTTTCAGCACAAGGGAACCAGACAGAATGCAGTTAAAAAAAAATACGTTTTAGAGCTTTATCTAAAATCTACTCATGCTCTAAAATATATTTAAACAATTTATTTGCAAATGCCTTTGTGTTTACAGTTTAAACACCTGAAGTTTATTATTTTTGATTTTTTGGGAACTTACAAACCTTGTAATGAGTAATTGCAATCATTTAGTATTTCCGGGCTTGAAGACGCTGTGTATGTTTTGGACAGTGCTCTAAGACGTGTGGCCGTGGGAGTCGGAGCAGAGAGTCCTACTGTATGAACAATCTGGGCCGGCGCCTGGTGGACAGAGACTGCAGTGAATACCAGAGGGTGGTCACTGAGACCTGCAACGAGCAGCCCTGTCCCAACTGGAGTGTTAGTGAGTGGAGCGAGGTGGGCCCTCACACACATACACACACACACACACACACAAGTTTGTGTTTCTGTCTTTACAGTAGAGTTGCATTCAGGCCCAAAAAAATCGGACCTGACTCAGCCCCAGCTCGTAGCCATCATTTCCAAACCACAACCGACCGGACAAATTAACAGTAATTACAGGTCCGAACCTGAAAAAAAAAACCTCAACATTTTACATTAAGCTTTGACTGCTTATATAGTTGTTAATGGTTGGCAGACACAGATGGCTGAGAAAAGGGGGCAGAAGATCAGAGCTGAGGAGGTGTTTGTCCTTTCATGACCATCAAAGCACATTAAATCCCTGCTTCTGCTGCATTCTGCATTATTCAGACACAGATCCTGCTCTGTCATGTCTGCTTTGGGATCTCACCTGTTTGGGTCGTCGGCTGCGTGCGTCTGCTGAGTGCAGCGGCTGAATGAACGTTCATTTGGGCTGATCGCTGGCAGTAGTCCATCTGAAACTTCACTGAACTTTATTTTACCTCTTTCAAGGCCGGTCAGCGCACGGTCAAATGGCCGTGTGCAGCTGGTGAATGTATGGCAAGCTGACGCAATCAAAAGCCAGACACCGACCTGGCCCGCACATTACGCACACTATTATGGCCCGGCCAGGCCCTAATCAGGTTAGAAATGATAGCTCTACTTTACAGGGACTTTGCATTCACTTCCATTCATTTTTCATTAATTTCTATAACCTAACACTGACCCTTACACAAAACCTAACCATTACCAGTACATCCCTAACCATAAACCTAACCCATCCTCAATTCATACCTTAGTCCTAAACCTGACCCCTAACCCACCAACAAAACTTGAACCTTATAGGGACCAGGCTTTGGTCCTCACAATTAAGAATGTGTTCAAAAATGGTTCTCACAACTGTGGTCTAAACAATTATCAAAGTGTATGACTCTTTAAAAAGGAATTATCTAAATTGTATGAAGTCAGCCCTTCAAAATGATCAAAAATTGAACCTCCAGCATTTCTCAAAATAATTCCAATCATATCATCCACAGCCCGTAACGTCTGAGTTTTACATTGTTTTATAGCAGTTTTGCTCCAACCATGAAAATATTGATATGCACAATGTGATATCATGAAATGTTGGCACTTTAAATGTGTGCATTAAATGATTCTCGGCCACTACCACATCAAATTTTTTCTTAATATCGGTACAATTGACTGAGTTATAGCAATATTTGTGTTTTCTCAGGTCAGTTGTCAGTTATGCTGATTGGGGTTGACTTCCAAAGCTAAATAGTTGTAGATAAACTTCTAGTGATTACTTTTTGACAATTTTATTAAAACCTGCCTTGTGATTCATGAGATATTTTGCTAACAGTGTTGCCTTCAATAATTTTTGACAGTCTCAAACAAAAGTCTTGTGCAATTAGTTAAAGCACCAGCTATGTGTTGTGGATAACCTTCAGCTACTACCACACCACATCTTAACTCAGTATTTATTAACCTTTATTTAACCAGGTAAATACCACTGAGTGTTAGGATTTGTGTCAGGAGCGAACCCAGAGTGCAGAACAGGGACTCAACTCGGCAGATATACAAAAATAGGCTTTTAATGATGAATGAAAAGTACAAAATAAACGAGCTGACGGGGCAGCAAAACTTACATAAGCAAGGAAGGAGGCACGGGGAACTCAGGAGACACGGGGGACTCGAGGGACCAGGAAGACAAGGAGAGACTCAGGAGACCCAAGGAAGCGTACCCAACGAAGACGACCCGACGAAGAACAAGACAGAATAGGATGACTTAAATACAGGGAGAAGACGAGACATGATGACAAACAGCTGGGACGAGACACAGGTGGCAACAATGGAAACTAATGAGGGAGCACGAGGGAAACAGACACACCGGGCCACAGAAAAGTAACATCCTTACAGTATCCCCCCCCCCAAGGACGCCTCCAGGCGTCCCCAAAAGACCCCCCTCCCGAAGGTTTAGGGTGGGTGGAGGGTGGCACTGCAAGGGTGGAGGGCCCGAGGAAAACACGAGGACCAGAGAAAGGACACGAGGGACCAGAGAAGGGACACGAGGGGCCAGAGAAAATACACGAGGGATCACAAAGAAC